GTTTTAGACAAAAAGCATGTATACTGAAAAGTACATATACATGTTAATCATGTACTCTTGATGTTAAGTAGCAGTTCATAGTTTAACTGTACATGTTGTACATACAGGTTACTTAAGAAAGGTGTTTGATATACTACACAATGACATTCTTACACACATCATGTTACTGTAATAACTAAATCAATTCACATACACCATTATATACCAAGCACATACTTACATCCAGTCATCATTTAGTGTACATTAGCAAGAATAACATTAACCTTCCTCTACCTGTCATGACATGAACCATATGTGTATACATGTAACACACAATAAGCTGACAACAGCCTACACAGGGTATCATATGTTTGACTGTAAGATACAATGAACTAGCACATGATAGACAAGAGGACATGATAGGCAATGTGCTTAAGTACATGCTTTATAGTGATCAGTATTAAGTATAGACTGAGTAATTGTATTAATATTTAATATACAATATTCACTAGGTCCCTACAGTGTTCTTAGAGCAAGTGATGATGATGATATTCATCACCAGTACCAGCCTATAATCCTAATGGAGTACAAGAATACTCTGAACTGAGGAGACAGGGAGAGGTATAATAAACAAAATACCAGACATACAATAACAATAATGTATAATAGAAAAAGAATAAACAACAACAACAACAACATCAAGGAGCTGGTCCACTTTATTCAACACTCAATCAAGACGATGATACTCCTCCTCCTGTCCCTCCTGCCTATAATCCTGAGGGAGTACAGGAATACTCTGTATTGAAGAGAGAGGGAGAGGTGAGTGATTAATGAGAGAGTCTTTTAAAAATGGATCATATAATGTATTATTAATAGAATAAGGGTCAACAGGGTCTGTCTACTGGTGCTACTGGACTATATTCAACCATTAATAAAAACACCAACAACCAGGTATGGATACATGTACATAATCCACTCTTGACATAATGTATTGGGTTTAATGAACTACATGTACATAATGTATTGGGTTTAATGAACTACATGTACATAATGTATTGGGTTTAATGAACTACATGTACATAATGTATTGTATCATATAAAGGAAGGGAAGAGGGTAATGGGTGTACATCCTTTTAGCTTTTCATGTAATAAGGTGAACTTATCCTTATATAATCTGATATACCACCTTATAGTAACTAATACACACATACCATAAGTACATGTAAATGCATTAGTATAGGTATGTACATTAGTATAAGGTATATTAGTACATAAGGTATGTACATTAGTAATTAAGGTTCATGTTGTTATATTCAACAGGTGTTAGTTGATGAATCAGCTCATAAGCCAGTGTATGCTGATCTGGCTATTGCTGATAAAGGGAAGAGACCACAGGCAGCACCAACACAAGAACAACCAGTGGTATATGCATCAGTTAACAACAAAGTAATGATAATGTACATGTACATGTAATGGTATCTCATACATCCTCTCTCTCTCTCCTCCTAGTCTGTTCCTCCTCCCATTCCTCCTCTAGCTGCTCCTCATAAAGTATTGTATGCTGATCTATCAATAGCAGCTAGTAAGAGAACACCAAAGAATGAACCACCCACTGAGGAAAGAGTATAATAATATTATTGAGACTGTTAATCATGCTGGTAAGGCTGTGGGCCTTTGGTGAAGTGGGCCATTGCTCAGGTAAGAGAGAGAGAGAGAGGAGTGTTTTAATTAAAGTCTGATTTTAATTGTGTATATGGAATTTAGTGATACATATACATGTTCTTATGTTGTGTAGAAAGTTTCAGCTGATTTTGATTAAATTTGGATTTTTCATGAATTTTTAAAATTGTTCAAAAATCGCGTCAAATTCCCTGTACTATAGTATAGGGGCGTTAACTAAATTTTGCCAAAATTAAAAAGTGGAGAATTCTCAGTTTTTGAAATATTTTCTGATATGTATACAAGTACCTGTCCTTATGTTGTGTATAAAGTTTGAGTTAATATTTTCTTATTTTTTCCGAGAGCGTGGGAATATTTTCGGATTCGTTTTATTTAATTTTTGGAATTTTTTTGTATTTTTTCTCATAAGTGTGGGGATATTTTTAAATTATTTTATTTAATTTTTGGAATTTTTTCTGATTTTTTCTGAGAGCGTGGGAATACTTTTGGAATTTTTATTTAATTTTTGGAATTTTTTGTATTTTTTTTCTCATGAGTGTGGGAATATTTTTGGATTATTTATTTTATTTTTGGAATTTTTTCTGATTTTTCCGAGAGCGTGGAAATATTTTCGAATTTTTATTTAATTTTTGGAATTTTTTCTAAAAGCGTGGGAATCTTTTTGAATTTTTTTTAGAGCTAAGAACCCTGTCATGAAACTCTCTCATTATTTCATACTCAATCCCTCTAGGACGTTGAGAGCTACGACCCAATCCTAAACCCTGTGCTCAATAGAGAAGTAAAGAAGACTGGAGGACGAGTTCTTATAACTTTTGGAGATCAGGAGATTGACTTGTCACCTTCTTTCACCATTTTCCTTTCAACGAGGGATCCTTCTGTTGAATTCCCACCTGATCTTTGCTCTAGAGTCACTTTTGTTAATTTCACCGTCACAAGGAGCAGTCTACAGAGCCAGTGCCTTAATAGACTAATAACAATATTTATTATTATTTTAATTTTCATTATTTTGCCTTCTCCCTCTCTCCTCTCAAGATGGTTGTCAGTTATATGCTCCTGAGAGGGAGCCAGCCTGTGTTCCTCTTGTCCTTACTAATATCCTTGGTACTTGTACTTATGCAATGGCTATCAAGTTCACATGTCCATTCTTCATTGAAAAGGTACCAATACATGCATGTACATGAATTAATTGCATGTACTTGTACATACAACAATAATAATACAATGTAACTTGATGGATAATGATGCATGTATACATGTACATTTAAATGCCTAGAAAGTACAGAAGTAAATTAAAGGTGAGTTTAGAATATTACAATAGTCTTGATGTTGTAATAGAACTTGGTTCTAGCCTAGTGGAAAGCATTCATCAAAAGGTCAAGTATCCCAAAAATTGTTAAAAATTGAAGGTACATATTGTAAGGCTGCCTTAATAGTTTACTTAGCAACACAGCATGTATTCATACAAACTGGAGGTAAAAGTTTATCCATGAGGTTAGATATGATGCCTGTAAATGTGAATGACTGTCAGTTAAGTATAAAGTAGAAAAGAACTAAGACAATAATTACAATGTTTACTTAGCAACACTGCAGTTTGCATGTACATGTATGCATTACAACTGGAGGTTAATGAGATTACACATGTATAAGTTTATGCATGAGGTTAAAGGTACAGTACATGTGATTTATCAACTGCAGACTCATCATAATCTCCTCACAATGTAACTGTCTGTACCATAGGCGCCGGAACAGGGGGGGCAGAGGGGGCTAAAGCCCCCCCAGTCTTGAAACAGGAGGGGCTGAGCCCCCCCAGAAATTCTCTGCAACTGACTAACAAAGAAAATAAAACTGACTTTTATCAATAAAATTAGACCTGCAGTCATTATCTCTTCATTTTATTTAAAGATAAAGACAAGAAAACTACTCTAAATGCAACAATAGAAGATTAGCACCATTTTTTGTAAAATTAGCAGCCTAAACCACACCCATTTTAATAACTTAATTGATGTTCAGCCCCCCCAAAATAAATTTTGTTCCGCCGCCTATGGTCTGTACATGACCTTTCCAGTAAGGAAGTTATTTATGAATCTGAAATCAAGCAACCTGATTTGTCAATCACAACTACATCTACATGTATATAGGCATGATAAGACATTTTTCATTTTAGCTATTGTGTGTTTTTTTATTATTGTAGCCCAGTGATGTTAGGTGTGGTCATTATAATCTCCTCCCCTGGACAGGCTGTATGAGTAGTCTATCAGGTATGGACACATGTACATGTACATTAATTCCAGTACATATATTTTCTCTAATGTATTACTTCTTTTATGTATTTCCCATTTCCTATTCAATGTATTTATCTCTCTTTCTTTCTCTTAATAAATTTAAAGTGATAATTTTCAATGTTCTACATGTACAATGTACATACTATCTTTTACTAGTTATTATTTCTTAATTCTTCTTCACATATTAAATGTATCCTTCTCTCCCTCTTTCTCTCAATAATTTTTAAGTGTCCATGTTCTTTTAAG